GTCAACTGTAATCAATTTACACCCAATTGTTAATAGTAAAGTCTGGTTCCTGAATAAAGCCCTGATACTGATCGCTACCTGTCCTCACGTAAATCATAATCAACTATGAGGATAAACAACGTAGACAATGACCTGTTCCTGATCAAAGTCCCTTCTTGTTGAATCAGCCAGGGGAATACCTGTTCCTGATCAAAGTCCCTTCTTGTTGAATCAGCCAGGGGAATTCAAGATGGCCAAAGTGTAAAGTGATCAATGTTTTTATGATCGGACCTCAAGTTTTTTTGTTTCCATCGACAAACAATCAGCTAAAGACATATTGTTCTGTACATGTCTGACAGCCAGTGATCTGTAGTGATCCAGTCAAATCTGTGTATTAGAGTGGGTTATAGGCCTACATTGGACCTCATGGTCGTTGCTGTATTGCATGTATTCAGAAAGCTGGTGTGTAGGTCAGAACCTTTGGGTTCTAAGGTTCTGTGTGGGTAGTGAACTGTACATAGCCGGTCAGACCAGTGTTTCCCCTAGATTGGTTTTACTTAGACGACCTGTCTAAATCAGCCCCTAAAGCTGTTTCCAGGACTGCCAGCATCAACCATGAACTGAAACCAAACTGAAACCAAACTAATAAAAGGCAGGCCTTCAACAGCGATGTTAGAGGGAAACATGGGCCACCAGGTTAAAGGTTAGGTGTTAAGTCAGAGGTCAGAATAACCAGGGGCCGAGGCCCGGCCTGCTCCTGTGCCCAACCATCCGTCCATTTGTCTGTCTGACCTTTGGAGGGGTATCGTTGTGCGTAATATCGGGCCTTTAAATGTGCCCCTCCAAAAGCACCTCAGTCCAATCACTGAGGATTATTATCTATCTACACTAGTATATCTACTGTATTCTATAAACAGGTGAGTTAGAATGCTGAGTTCACATGTCTGTGACGGTCTGTTAAAAATGATATGTGTCAGGGGTAGCTAGTCTTTCACTGTCCAGCGGATATAAAACATGGGGATTTAATTACAAAGCTTAAATTGTAGGTTGGTTGTAATCTTCATCTTTCATGACTTAATCCAACTAAATCTCTAAATAAAACATAATAACAGATAGTATCTATGGCACAATTATCATAGTAGAAAAACGCAGCTTGTGTATGTTTTCACCCAGTTCAAGCCTGTCTAAGTAAATCAAGTAACATTTGCAATTTCAACATTCCATGGAATGTGGCACTAATAAACCAAAAATAGAAAACAACAAAAAAATGTTTTTACAACAAAATGTGTCTATTCCCTTCTGCTCAAACACAACATGCTGCCTCCTATTGGATGGTCAGGCACTGTAGTCACCAACACTAGTGGTGAGAGGGCGATACTGGTAGGGGGCGCTACAGGGGGCAGAGGGTGGTGTGAGCCAGGGATGGGCTAGGGAGTCAACTCCTGTCTGTCCTGCCTGTGGGTGTGAAAGCTAGCAGACCTGGGTTAAAGGAAATATTATTCCATTTATTTATTTACAAATACTTTTGAACGATTGATTGAGCCTGGTGGGTGTGGTGTGCACTTTTGGGACTATTCTATTGATGTCATTGCGTCAGGCAAACTCAATCAAGCGCAGCTCAAGCATTTGAAAGAAAACCCATACTATTTGAACCCAGGTGTGGTAGCTTTTATAAACACAGGTAGCCTCTAGGATGTACACACCTCCACTGCCCAACAAAGCATCAACGTGTTTGGGTTGTCAGAGGGAGGACTGCTATCTAAAGACACTGTTTGCATACAGTACATACATATGTCTGTGGACAGGTATGTGTACAACAGCTAAGCTGTACCACCTGTCTCCATCTCGTCCCTCTGTTATTTAACAAAGACCTGGTGCTTCATCCCAAATAGCACTCTATTCCCTATATAGTGCACTACTTTTCACCAGAGTCCTATAGAGGCCCTGGTCAAATGTAGTGCACTATGAAGGGAATAGGGTGCCATTTGGGATGAAGCCTGTTCAATACATCTTCACCAATACTTCAGAGACGGAGAAGTCAGGCTATAGCAGCTTTTAATTCACATTACTGAAATATATTACGATATTCACCCAGGCGGCGCCTTTTTATGTTTCAATGTTTCATAATAGATAATTATTGCAATAACACACTAATATTACATCCTATTCAATATTGGTAACAATGCTTCATTGCAGTAAATATATAGCAACGGCAATAGCAATTATACTGTAGTGCTAGTAAAAAAAAAGAATTTGTGATCCTTTAATTTAGTGGCCGATTATTAGATACTAAATGGCTGCTCATTGTGTTTCTCACAATATGGGAGCTTCCAAAGGTTTTAAAGAACCCCCCAAAAAGACATGATTATTCTAAACTATCCATAACGTTAACCCAACCCTTTAATAGCATACTGTGCATTACCCAGGAAATCTAGTTTTCAGCTCTGCAAGACTGAGCAATCTCTGTGTCACTCTTCCTCTATCATGCTATCATCCTATCTCTCCTTTAATAGCATTTCATCAAACACTTTAGAGCCATAGGAATCAGACTAATCAGATCGTCTGATTATGACATGGCTGATTACATCATGCATGCAGGTAGGTTGCCATGGTGATCGGCAGTGTTCTTTATGCTTGGCTGATAGGGGAAACAGGAGTGAGAACCGGGACACCTAGTGGTTGTCTGAGACATTACCACCAGGTTTACATCCTTTGGCATGAATCAGACCAGGTTGAGTTGAACCCTCTACTGCAGGGGGGGCTGCATTCCGTCTTCAACGAGTTCCGGAGGGCCGCAATGAAAATGTATTATATTTCCTCGCCATTGAAAACTTGCAAAAGATAGTCCTCTATCCATCGTTTTGGGAATTTATGATACTCCCTGACTGTCTAGCTTTAATTTAGGCGATTATTAGCGAGCTGGACAGTCAAGACATGACATAGTCATTTTAAAGTATATGGAGTTAGTTTTCCCCAAAAAGCAAAAGCTCCTCTCTTTCACCAGCCATTCAAAATGGTATTTACCTATGATGTTTCCATGAACAACCCCATTATTTACAGTTGAAGTCAGAAGTTTACATACACTTAGGTTGGAGTCATTAAAACCCGTTTTTCAACCACTCCACAAATGTCTTGTTAACAAATTATAGTTTAGGCAAGTCGGTTAGGACATCTACTTTGTGCATGACACAAGTAATTTTTCCTACAATTGTTTACAGACAGATTATTTCACATATAATTCACTGTATCACAATTCCAGTGGGTCAGAAGTTTACATACACTAAGTTGACTGTGCCTTTAAACAGCTTGGAAAATTCCAGAAAATGATGTCATGGCTTTAGAAGCTTCTGATAGGCTAATTGGCATCATCTGAGTCAATTGGAGGTGTACCTGTGGATGTATTTCAAGGCCTACCTTCAAACTCAGTGCCTATTTGCTTGACATCATGGGAAAATCATTGAAATCAGCCAAGCCCTCCGAAAAAAAATGGTAGACCTCCACAAGTCTGGTTCATCTATGGGAGCAATTTCCAAATGCCTGAAGGTACCACGTTCATCTGTATAAATAATAGTACGCAAGTATAAACACCATGGGACCACGCAGCTGTCATACCGCTCAGGAAGGAGACGCGTTCTGTCTCCTAGAGATGAACGTACTTTGGTGCGAAAAGTGCAAATCAATCCCAGAACAACTGCAAGGGACCTTGTGAAGATGCTGGAGGAAACAGGTACAAAAGTATCTATATCCACAGTAAAACGAGTCCTATATCGACATAACCTGAAAGGACGTTCAGCAAGGAAGAAGCCACTGCTCCAAAACCACCCTAAAAAAGCCTGACTACAGTTTGCAACTACACATGGGGACAAAGATCGTACTTTTTGGAGAAATGTCCTCTGGTCTGATGAAACAAAAATAGAACTGTTTGGCCATAATGACCATCGTTATGTTTGGAGGAAAAAGGGGGTTGCTTGCAAGCTGAAGAACACCATCCCAACCGTGAAGCACGGGTGGCAGCATCATGCTGTGGGGGTGCTTTGCTGCAGGAGGGACTGGTGCACTTCACAAAATAGATGGCATCATGAGGAAGGAAAAGTATGTGGATATATTGAAGTAACATCTCAAGACATCAGTCAGGAAGTTAAAGCTTGGTCGCAAATGGGTCTTCCAAATGGACAATGACCCCAAGCATACTTCCAAAGTTGTGGCAAAATGGCTTAAGGACAACAAAGTCAAGGTATTGGAGTGGCCATCACAAAGTCCTGACCTCAATCCTATAGAACATTTGTGGGCAGAACTGAAAAAGCGTGTGCGAGCAAGGAGGCCTACAAACCTGACTCATTTACACCAGCTATGTCAGGAGGAATGGGCCAAAATTCACCCAATTTATTGTGGAAGGCTACCGAAACGTTTGACCCAAGTTAAACAATTTAAAGGCAATGCTACCAAATACTAATTGAGTGTATGTAAACTTCTGACCCACTGGGAATGTGATGAAAGAAATAAAAGCTGAAATAAATCATTCTCTCTACTATTATTCTGACATTTCACATTCTTAAAATAAAGTGGTGATCTTAACTGACCTAAGACAGGGATTTTTTACTAGGAGTAAATGTCAGGAATTGTGAAAAACTGAGTTTAAATGTATTTGGCTTAGGTGTATGTAAACTTCCGACTTCAACTGTATGTAAGTGATAAAACAATCTCTTTCTGCTCTTGTGTGTGTGTGTGTGTGTGATATTTTAGTGGATGTGTGTGTGTGATATATTAGTGTGTGTGTGTGTGATATATTAGTGTGTGTGTGTGTGTGTGATATATTAGTGTGTGTGTGTGTGTGATATATTAGTGTGTGTGTGTGTGTGTGATATATTAGTGTGTGTGTGTGCCTGTACTGTCTGTATTTTGTATGGTTCACATTATCCAGTCTGTAGAGACTCTCCTCTCCTCTGTGTAGGGTACTGGATAGGCATCAGAAACACCAGTATAGCTGTATCCCTCGATCTCCTTCATACTCCTCCTCTTCTCTAGCTCTGGGAGAAGTACTCCAGAACGATGCGCAGGTGTCCCAGGCGGTCCTTGAGGGAGGGCAGAGACAGGACAGTGGTCTGGTAGGCAGGGTCCAGCTGGAGAACTGACAACAACCACCAACACCACGCTGGACCATTGTTGGAGGCCTGAGGGAGAGAGACAGGGAGAGAAAGGAGAGAGAAGGGAGAGAGAGAGAAGGAAGAGGGAGAGACAGGGAGAGAGAGAGAAGGGAGAGAGACAGTGAGAGAGAGAGACAGGGAGACAGGGAGAGAGAGAGACAAGGAGAGAGAAGGGAGAGAGACGGAGAGAGAAGGGAAAGAGACAGGGAGAGAAAGAGACCGGGAGAGACAGGGAGAGAGACGGAGAGAGAGGGGAGAGAGACGGGGAGAGAAAGAGACCGGGAGAGACAGGGAGAGAGACGGAGAGAGAAGGGAGAGAGACAGGAGAGAGGAGAAGGAGAGAGAGAGACAGGGAGAGGAGAGAGGAGTAAGGAGAGAGAGAGACAGGGGAGAGAGACAGGGAGAGAGAGAAGGAAGAGAGAAGGGAGAGAAGGAAGAGAGAAGGGAGAGAGAGAGACAGGGTGAGAAAGGAGAGAGAGCGATGGGGAGATATAGATGATATTAGACATTAGATATGTACTGGTCTGGAAGTGGTAGGTGATAGAGCAAGGTCTGTCTGTGTGTGTGTGTGTGTACCTGTATGTTGTCGTCCTTGTCAGGCATGGTTCCATACTGTCTGCTGATCTGTTCTCTGATGCGTGTGGTGAGGCGTGTGTACCAGTCCTGGGCCTGCTCATACACACTGTCATGGAGGCTCTGCAACAGCTCGAACTCTGACCCCTCAGCCTAAGAACATAGGAGGATATTCTCAATGAAAAATACATACAGTACAATTGATTCTGTTCAAACCTTTAAATATAGAAACAAACTCTCTCTTTAGTCTTTCTTTGATTCCTCTCTCACACACACAGACCTTGCCTATCACCTATCACTTCCAGACCAGAACTCATCTAGTGTCTAATTCTCTCACTCTCCCTCTCTCTCTCCCTCCCTCTCTCCCTCCCTCTCTCTCCCTCTGCCTCCCCCTCCCTCCCTCTCTCCCTCTCTCTCTCCCACTCTCTCCCTCTCTCTCCCATGCCCTCCTAAGGTATATCCACTAGAGTGCTGAACATTGCCTTTACAAACTGTTGCTTGGAAACAGGCAAAGTACCAGCGGAACACTCACTGAAGGACTAGCTAATAAAATAGCATTTGTAACCTTCCCAAGGAGTGGTAAATTGAACCAAAAAACTGCATTCACAGGGGACATCCAGGGCCAGGATTAGGTTAGAACAACCTTTGGTAACTTACCATGTGGTCCTCCATGTATTCTATATCAGCGGTGTGGTATCCAGCTCTCTTCAGTGTGTGTGTGTGTACCTTGTGGTCCTCCATGTACTCTATATCAGCGGTTTGGTATCCATCTCTCTGTCCTCTCTTTAGGACCCTGAAGCGACTTCCTCCCACACAGTCCACATAGGAGCGACCATCAGGCAACACCTCTAGGCTATGAATCTCCAGCATACAGCCATAGTCTGCAAATCTGGAGGATACACACACACACCGAGTCAGACACACACCGAGTCAGACACACACCGAGTCAGACACCACCGAGTCAGACACACACACAGTCAGACACACACACACAAAGTCAGACACACACCGAGTCAGACACACACCAAGTCAGACACACACACACAGTCAGACACACACACAGTCAGACACACACACAGTCAGACACACACACAGTCAGACACACACACACAGTCAGACACACACACACAGTCAGACACACACACAGTCAGACACACACACCGAGTCAGACACACACACCGAGTCAGACACACACACCGAGTCAGACACACACACCGAGTCAGACACACACACCGAGTCAGACACACACCGAGTCAGACACAGACCGAGTCAGACACACACCGAGTCAGACACACACACCGAGTCAGACCACACACCGAGTCAGACACACACACGAGTCAGACACACACCGAGTCAGACACAGACCGAGTCAGACACCAACACCCGAGTTCAACCACCACCCGAGTCAGGGACACACACCGAGTCAGACACACACACAGAGTCAGACACACACACCGAGTCAGACACACACACCGAGTCAGACACACACACCGAGTCAGACACACACCGAGTCAGACACACACACAGAGTCAGACACACACACAGACTCAGACACACACACAGAGTCAGACACACACACAGAGTCAGACACACACACAGAGTCAGACACACACACAGAGTTGTTGGAACCATGCTGAAAGGGTCATGTGAAAGACAATCAGATCCCCACAACAGTGTGACTCAGCTCAGTGTGACTCAGCTCAGTGTGACTCAGCACAGTAGTTGTAAAAAGGGAAACAGAGTCAGACACACACAGGGTTCATTTTCATACCAGTATTTTCAGATTGTATACATCCACGACCCACCCTTTTCCATGTTCGTAGCTGCACATGCCAAACTTCTTGGTGCCCGTCTCCATGCATCGTCTCATCATAAGGCGGTAGCGAGGCTCGAAGATGGGAAGGACGGGCACCCGCCGGTATGCACCGAACACACAAAGATAGGGATTCCTTATAGTAGAAGATGAGAGAGAGAGCCGAGGAGAGGAGAGAGCAGCGAGACGAGAGAGAGAGAGATGAGAGAGAGATGGAGAGAGTGACGAGCAGGAGAGAGGAGACTTCAGGCGCAGCTGGCGTCGTGCTCTCTCTCAGTCCCTCGACTCTCGACGATCTCCTCTCTCTTCTGAGCTATACCCTCGCCTCTCTCGCTCCTGCTTGTCTCTTCTTTGTATGCGCTACTCTCTCCGTCTCCTCATTCGGGGGTGGCTTCTCGGGTTCTCTGAGAAGGGAGAGATCATCATCAGGGTAACAGTGGCGTTAAGGAGGTGTGTTGCTGTTCTCCAGCAGCTGGTGTTGTTGCTGTGTGCGGTGCCTTGCCAATGACCTCACGGTCACAATGTCTACTCTCTACTGTATAAGGAGCCTGATGCCTGTTGCCACAGTTACCATTAGGTTTGCCAACTCGCCCCAAGCTCATTCTGGCGAGCTTAGGGTGAGTTGTCCATCAACATTTTCGTGTTTCAGTCTCTCATTTCATTCAGGCATTAAGAAATAGTTCCAAAGCTCGTTTTACAGGTAAGGGCCAATTTTCATAGCCTGGTTAAACCAGACTGAACGCTGCACTCACAAATGGGAACAACCTCTCCCTCAACGTGACCAAGACAAAGGAGATGATTGTGGACTACAGGAAAAAAAAGAGGACTGAGCACGCCCCCATTCTCATCGACGGGGCTGTAGTGGAACAGGTTGAGAGCTTCAAGTTCCTTGGTGTCCACATCACCAACGAACTATCATGGTCCAAACACACCAAGACCGTCGTGAAGAGAGCACGACAAAGCCTATTCCCCCTCAGGAGACTGAAAAGATTTGGCATGGGTCCTCAGATCCTCAAAAAATTCTACAGCTGCACCATCGAGAGCATCCTGACTGGTTGCATCACCGCCTGGTATGGCAACTGCTTGGCCTCCGACCGCAAGGCACTACAGAGGGTAGTGCGTACGGCCCAGTATATCACTGGGGCCAAGCTTCCTGCCATCCAGGACCTCTATACCAGGCGGTGTCAGAGGAAGGCCCTCAAAATTGTCAAAGACTCCAGCCACCCTAGTCATAGACTGTTCTCTATGCTACCGCACGGCAAGCTGTACCGGAGTGCCAAGTCTAGGTCCAAAAGACTTCTTAACAGCTTCTACCCCCAAGCTATAAGACTCCTGAACAGCTAATCATGGCTACCCGGACTATTTGCACTGCCCCCCCACCCCATCCTTTTTACGCTGCTGCTACTCTGTTAATTATTTATGCATAGTCACTTTAACTCTACCCACATGTACATATTACCTCAACTACCTCAACTAGCCGGTGCCCCCGCACATTGACTCTGCAACGGTACCCCCCTGTATATATAGCCTCCCTACTCTCACTTTATTGTGACCAATAAAATTTGATTTGATTTGAAACGTATAGAAATCAGTTTGCGTGCTAGGCTACAGTTCTGGGAGATTCTAGAACAAACCGGGAGGGTTCGCAATCGATCCCCGTTTACCCCTAGTTACAGTGCGCCAGCGACAGGACTCACTTGGAGAGTTCGGCCATCTCAGTCTCGTGGACCTGCTTCCTCTCAGCCAGCTGCAGGGGGAAGAGGCGGGACATGATCTCCTGCAGAAGCACTGTGGGGTTGTACTTCCTGTTCTTAAAGTACTACACAGGAAACAGGAAGTGATTCAGCATTATTGGGAAGAAAAGTAACAAATAAGTTTATCCCATTTAAAGTGTTCCCCCTTGGGTTATAAACACAGTAGCAACATAACAACAGTACAAAGCAATCCTTCCATTGTAATTATATACAATGTGTTTCTGATTGAGCCCAGAGACTATGTACATAGACAAAGACCGTAGTTACGTAGGCCCTAGTTACGTAGAACATACAGTGCCTTGCAAAATGATTCAGACCTGTCACGTCTCCTCCTGTTGCTCCCCTCCAGCGCTCTGATTCACCGGTCTACTGAGCCACCGGTCTGAGCGCACCACCTCGGCAACACCGGAATGGAAACCAAACGCACCCTAATCACCTCCAGCGCACCTGCACCTCATCATCTCATCACCACCCCTATTTAGCCCTGGACTGTTCTGGATGATGTTGTGTGTGATTGTTAAGCTTCGTGTCATTTACTCTTTCTTTGTTGTTTCTCTTGCTCATTGTTATGTAAACCCTGACCTTGTTAATTCCTGCGTCTGCGTCCTGCCTCTTTGTATACTCAGTACGCGTCACAGAATCACACACCAAACGAAAATGGAGCAGGAGTTTCCCAGTGCCTCAACCAGCACCAGCAGCAGCTTGCCCAGTTGAACGCCGCCATGCAGGAAGTGCTCCAAACTCTGCATAATCTGCCCAGCGCTCCGGTTCCACCTCAGGGTGCGGCGAGTGCCCCCAATCCACCTGTTCCTGTGCTATCACCCACTCCTGCGGGAACCCTCGCCCTACCGGAGCGCTATGACGGTAAAACTACTAAATGTAGCGGCTTCCTGCTACAGGTTTCCCTTTATCTGGCGCGTCAGCCTGGGACATATCCATCTGACCAAGCCAGGATAGCGCTGGTGATTTCACTTCTTAAAGGAAAGGCGCTGGATTGGGCCACGGCAGTCTGGGAAGGAGAGGAGGCAGTGGCACTTCCCTACCCCACCTTCCTCGCTAGGTTCAGGGCGTTGTTTGATCATCCCACGGAGGGAAAGGACGAGGGTGAGCGTCTCCTCCATCTACAACAGAGAGAGGGGCCTGCGTCCGAGTACGCTCTGAGCTTCCGCACGGTGGCGGCGTCTTCCAGCTGGAATGAGCGTGCTCTGCGCACGGCCTTCAGAAGGGAGGACATCAAGACGGAACTCGCATGTCGGGACGACGAGATGGACCTTGATACCCTCATCACCAAGTCCATCCGTCTTGACGACATGTTGAGAGAGAGATGGCGTTCCCAACACCTCCCGGAGCCTCGACACTCATCCCATCTGAGCTATGGAAGCCGCAGCACCCCCTACACCACCAGGCACCACAGATCTCCTGGCGGCTCCCTATCTAGGCGGTATGACTCCCGTCGCCGCTCCGTGAGTGTTACGTCAGCTCCTATCAAAAAACCATTGTTTTTAGTTCCCATAACGGTGACTGGTTATTCCTTCTCTTCCATTTCTACCGCAATGATAGATTCCGGATCAGCGGGGAACCTTATTGATAGGGAGTTGGTCTCTGAATGGTGGTTGCCACCGTGCCACTGCCATCTCCGCTACACGTCACCTCACTGGACAATAAACCCCTTGGATCAGGCACCATTACGCACGTCACTCTTCCCATCACCATCACCATTCCCACACTACCGGTGCACCACGAGGAGCTGTCATTCCACATCGTCACGTCACCCCTTCACCGGGTCGTCTTGGGATTTCCCTGGCTCAGACTACACAACCCCACCATCAATTGGAGCACCAAGAGGATCACAGCCTGGTCCACTTCATGCCGGAAGACCTGCCTGCCGGTGGTTTGTGTTCCACGTTAGTGGAGAGTCCGGAGTCCGCCCTCCAGCCCAACATTCCACGTGAGTAGGCAGATGTCTCCGATGTCTTCTCTGCCTCCAAGGCTAAGTGTCTCCCTCCTCACAGGCCCTGGGACTGCACCATTGACCTGCTGGAGGGACAACACCGCCCGAAGAGTCGCATTTACCCCCTTTCCATGGCGGAGACTGAGGCCATGGAGAAGAACAGTGGGGGAAAAAAGTATTTAGTCAGCCACCAATTGTGCAAGTTCTCCCACTTAAAAAGATGAGAGAGGCCTGTAATTTTCATCATAGGTACACGTCAACTATGAGAGACAAAATGAGAAAAAAAAATCCAGAAAATCACGTTGTAGGAATTTTAATGAATTTATTTGCAAATTATGGTGGAAAATAAGTATTTGGTCAATAACAAAACTTTCTCAATACTTTGTTATATACCCTTTGTTGGCAATGACACAGGTCAAACGTTTTCTGTAAGTCTTCACAAGGTTTTCACACACTGTTGCTGGTATTTTGGCCCATTCCTCCATGCAGATCTCCTCTAGAGCAGTGATGTTTTGGGGCTGTCGCTGGGCAACACAGACTTTCAACTCCCTCCAAAGATTTTCTATGGGGTTGAGATCTGGAGACTGGCTAGGCCACTCCAGGACCTTGAAATGCTTCTTATGAAGCCACTCCTTCGTTGCCCGGGCGGTGTGTTTGGGATCATTGTCATGCTGAAAGACCCAGCCACGTTTCATCTTCAATGCACTTGCTGATGGAAGGAGGTTTTTACTCAAAACCTCACGATACATGGCCCCATTCATTCTTTCCTTTACACGGATCAGTCATCCTGGTCCCTTTGCAGAAAAACAGCCCCAAAGCATGATGTTTCCACCCCCATGCTTCACAGTAGGTATGGTGTTCTTTGGATGCAACTCAGCATTCTTTGTCCTCCAAACATGACGAGTTGAGTTTTTACCAAAAAGTTATATTTTGGTTTCATCTGACCATATGACATTCTCCCAATCCTCTTCTGGATCATCCAAATGCACTCTAGCAAACTTCAGACGGGCCTGGACATGTACTGGCTTAAGCAGGGGGACACGTCTGGCACTGCAGGATTTGAGTCCCTGGCGGCGTAGTGTGTTACTGATGGTAGGCTTTGTTACTTTGGTCCCAGCTCTCTGCAGGTCATTCACTAGGTCCCCCCGTGTGGTTCTGGGATTTTTGCTCACCGTTCTTGTGATCATTTTGACCCCACGGGGTGAGATCTTGCGTGGAGCCCCAGATCGAGGGAGATTATTAGTGGTCTTGTATGTCTTCCATTTCCTAATAATTGCTCCCACAGTTGATTTCTTCAAACCAAGCTGCTTACCTATTGCAGATGCAGCCTGGTGCAGGTCTACAATTTTGTTTCTTGTGTCCTTTGACAGCTCTTTGGTCTTGGCCATAGTGGAGTTTGGAGTGTGACTGTTTGAGGTTGTGGACAGGTGTCTTTTATACTGATAACAAGTTCAAACAGGTGCCATTAATACAGGTAACGAGTGGAGGACAGAGGAGCCTCTTAAAGAAGAAGTTACAGGTCTGTGAGAGCCATAAATCTTGCTTGTTTGTAGGTGACCAAATACTTATTTTCCACCATAATTTGCAAATAAATTCATTAAAAATCCTACAATGTGATTCTCTGGAGAAAAAAAAAATCTCAATTTGTCTGTCATAGTTGACGTGTACCTATGATGAAAATTACAGGCCTCTCTCATCTTTTTAAGTGGGAGAACTTGCACAATTGGTGGCTGACTAAATACTTTTTTTCCCCACTGTATGTGGCAGAGACCCTGAAACAGGGGTTCATCAGACGCTCTACCTCTCCTGCCTCCGCCAGCTTCTTCTTCGTGGCCAAAAAAGACGGAGGACTGAGACCCTGCATTGACTACAGGGGCCTGAACGCAGTCACCACCAAGTACCGGTACCCCCTCCCTCTGGTTCCGTCAGCCATCGAGCAGCTACGAGCGGGCCGGTACTTTACCAAATTGGACCTGAGGAGTGCCTACAACCTGATCCGAATCCGGGAAGGAGACGAGTGGAAGACGGCATTCAGCACTACCTCAGGCCACTATGAATACTGCGTCATGCCCTACGGCCTCGCCAACGCACCTTCTGTGTTCCAGTCCTTCGTCAATGACGTGTTCCGGGACATGCTGCGTAGACAGGTGGTGGTGTACATCGACGATATCCTGATCTACTCGGCTACGTTCGAGGAGCACGTCAGGGATGTCCGAGCTGTCCTACTCCGCCTCCGGGAACACAGCCAGTTGGTGAAGGGGGAGAAATGCGAATTCCACCAACAGGCCATCTCCTACCTGGGATACCGGATCAGTCCTCAGGGGGTGTTCATGGAAGGAGTGAAGACAGACGGCGTCAGGTCATGGCCAGTTCCCACCACCATCAATGGCCTACAGAGCTTCCTGGGCTTCGCTAATTTCTACCGGCGTTTCATCAGGTCATTCAGCTACATAGCCGCCCCGCTCAACTCTCTCCTTAAGGGTGGGCCTCAGAAGCTGGCCTGGAATCCTGAGGCTGATGCTGCCTTCAAGAGGCTGAAGGAGAGGTTCACCACAGCGCCCATCCTAAAACACCCAGATCCTAATCCCCCACAGAGAGGAACTATGGAGTTGGAGACAGGGAGCTGTTGGCGGTGGTCCTTGCTCTGTAGGAATGGAGACACTGGCTGGAGGGCGCAGTCCATCCATTCCGGATTCTTACTGACCACTGGAATTTGGAGCACATAAGGGCAGCGAAACGGATGAACTCTCGTCAAGCCAGGCGGGCCCACTTTCTCACTCGCTTCCAATTCATTCTGTCCTACCGCCCAGGATCCCAGAATGTGAAGGCCGACGCACTCTCCAGGATGCACCATACCGGAGAAAGGAAGGATCTGGGGGGTCCTATCATGCCCTCGTTTCTCATTGTTACTCCTGTCATTAGGGATGTGGACGAAGACATCCGCCTGGCGGCTCAGGAGGACCCAGCGCCTGCCAAAGCCCCTCCAGGGTGCGTGTATGTACCCACCAGTGTCCGTGACCGCCTGCTGTTCTGGGCGCACACCACCCTTACGGCAGGGCACTCTGGTATTACGCGCACCCTGCATTCTCTAGCCCAAAAATACTGGTGGTCCAC